AACAATGAATGGCAATCCTACTGCAGGGATTACCTTCATTCTCGCCTGGATATGACATTTGGTCGTCATCCTGAAGCCAATGGGCAGGCTGAAGTGATGAACCAAATTTTGTTTCAGTTGCTGCATCCCATGATCAGTCCAGACCAGCAGGACTCAGATCTCCATTTGAGTCGTGCACAGCTTGTGTATAAGACTTTTGTACACTCCTCCACAGGCTTAACACCCTACCGATTGCACTGGGGTTGTGAGCCACGGCAGCCTCTCGATGACATCATCGACAAGGCTACCCCTAAGTTGACACCTGAAACTGTAGAGTTCACCAGGCGTTACCGTGTGGACATAGAGTGCACCCGTGCTAATCTGTTGAAAGCCCAAAAGGCTATGATCCATCAGGCTTATATGCACAGACAACCCTCGACTATTCGCACAGGTGATTGGGTGAGGGTACTCAGTTCCGAGATCTCATGAGAGGAGGACATTTCACCTAAGCTGCTGCCACGATATATGGGTCCATGGCAGGTCTTAGATACAGTGGGAGCTGATCCGTTTGGACCATCCTATATTGTGGATGTCCCTCTGCATCTACAAACCTACCCTATCTTTCGTGCATCTAAGCTGTTACCATTCACATCAGCTGATGCATTTCCAGACGAGCCTCCTCAGTTTGGTCCTCCGATCCCTGGCAAGGGATATGACGTTGAGTCCATTGAGGACGAGTCAGGTACAAGACCAGATAAGCAATACCTTGTGAAGTTTTGCTACCAGCCGCACACTGAAGATCGCTGGTTTACTCGCAAGGAACTCCTGAAAACAGCAAAGTCTGTTATCCTCAGACATTGGGCAGCACAGAAGGGAGAACCCCTTCGGCGTTTTGCACGCCTACGCCCCTAGCTCGAAGGTCCTCGCTCTAGGGGAGGGTAGGTCTGCAAATGACTTGCTGGTTTCTGGTCGCCTGTAGCCTCTCTCTTGTCGAGGCTGTACTATTTGTAGGTCAGATTCGTAATTTTTGTTTGGCTGAGGGCTAACCAAGAGACCTGCCTGTACGAAAATCCGGTAGGGACATATCTACAAAATTGTGGAAAATATAGGCCCATACTAACTTGAAGTTCCTACAGCTACCCTAACTGCGATTAGCAGGCCCGGACTACCCCTAGGACAGACAGGCCCTATAGGCCTATGCTGATAGACAGTCCTATAGCCTATAGCCGGGTAAGGTAGAGGCCGAGAGGCCGAAACTAAAACGGTATTGGTCAGTCCAGTCAGTCCTGTCTAGGTCGAGTCTAGGCTAGTTTAGACTATAAATAGGATGGGCACATCGGTTCAGGGATTTGGGCAGTTGGTACCGAGTACATGGCTGCTGTGCAACGCATGAACTGGAAGAGGTGACGGCTCAGCATTGAGGGAGACAGACATAGCCAGACCTTCAAACCGGCCATAGCTGGGACCCGCGCTGTACTATGTCAGCACGCGGGGCTGTACAGAGGTCTGGGTTATAGAGGTCTGCTGGAGGCGAGGGAAGTTGGTGCCCTGATGGACCCTCCTCCTGAGTGGGGTTCCACGGTAGTGGCTGCAGGCTGCAGCGCCTTCCTCAGAGGTCACCTTGTCTGGAGTGGTCGCGCTGCTGCAGACTTCCACCCCGGAAGTCTTTCGACACTTCGTCATCATCAGATACTGTGGCGCTGGTCTTCTTCTTCATCCTCTGAGTGGCGCTTGGCCTCAGAGGCCTGTTTCAAGGTGGTGCTTCCCTTTGGATCCTGTATCTGGGTGGTGCTGATGTTTCAGGGACTCAGGGGTAGTGATAGCCGTTCATCAGGGTTGGGGAGTGAAGTGCTGCTCATCTCTGAGCAGCGCATCATAGTTCTGAAGTTATTTTGACAATTCGAGACTCTTGAGTATAATAAACAGCGTTGATACTAGGTTCAGACTATCATTGCTTCATTGTTTCTTGGATGTGATCTACTTGGCTTTCCTTTATGACTGGTTGTGAGGATTGAGAGGAGTGAATTGCACTTTCAGTATACCTTTATGACTGGTTGTGAGGATTGAGAGGAGTGAATTGCATTTTCAGTATACCCTGTCATATCGCATGGTCAAGTCTTCCGCTGTGTTTACCTCTCCCTGTGCGGTGTGATACTCCTATCCTCTCCCCTTCCTTCTGTGTATGTATGGGCATACCAGGGAGTCTATGTGAGTGAGTGTTGGTCTTCAGACAACAGACAACTAGAATCATAAGAACACGGCCAAAGGTGTCCCCACTAATTGCAAGATTAGAGTGTGAATCCAGCTATATCGGGAAAACATTCATTTGACATTACTTGGATGGATCAGTACGCTAGAGTAGCATGTTGTTTCTTGTGTTGATAGAAATCCCAGTTTCCACTTGTATTTCCAGTGCTAGTGCCAACAAAAGCGCTTTGCACACATCATACGCCACAGACTATGAAGGTCCAGTCATTTACATTGGAATGGGCTATTGGTAGTGAGTTGGTTGTGCTTCGCACACGTCTTACGCCACAGACAATGAAGGTCCAGTCATTTACATTGGAATGGGCTATTGGTAGTGAGTTGGTTCAGGTTGTTAGACATCCCAGTTTCCACTTATTTTCCAAAACTAGCGTCATCACCCGAATAAAATGCCCATCATTGCTGTATGTGGACTGAAAGTTTCCCCAAATATGGCTATAATGGCAGGGTGTTCTATTCAGGTGAAGACGGTAGTGCCAAAAGAGGCGCTTTGCACACAAGATGTCACAGACAATGAGGGTCCAGTGTTGTTCATGCGGGTTAATTCAACAGAAGTCAACTCTGTTTCATGGGAGGTGAGGCTGCTACAAGGGAATCAATGGAGGGAATTGGGTGGGGCATTGAGACGCTGCGGGATCCAGACTATTCCTGCGGGGGAAATCCGGCTGTAGATGAGGACAGAGCTGGTAAAAGACAAGCTGAGGGAGATGGTAAGGGGCGGCAGTTCTGCAGAATGTTATGTCTGTTATATTGTGCCAAGGAAGAAATACATTTACACTGAGGTAGCCTCTGCTTGCACAACCAGGCACGCACCGCCGGGCACGCCCTCGGCACGCAGGCTAAGGGCGAACCTGCCCAGGACAACCAGTTGGGTAAAAAAAGGGGGCTATAACTTCTCATTTTAACAATTCTGACTTTGAGCCAGGGATGCACTTGACATATGGCCTTCATCTTCCAATCTGGAGATGGAACAAGCAGTGGGGGCTTCGGGGGATATGAAGTTACTATAAACAGGTTTGAAAAGGGATTAAAGGGGTGTGTATCGTCTTTCTTTTTCTCTTTTATTAATTTCATTGTTAAGGGATTTCCCCCGGTCGCCCTCGCCCAAAAGTTGTTCGTATTTGCAATTTTACACTACTTTTTCCCCCCGAATTTTAGGGTTTCTTTTATTTTTTCTGTTCTTTTTTCTGTTCTTTTTTCTGTTCTTTTTTCTGTTCTGGGACTGCCCGGAGCCCTGCCTTAATTAATCTTCCCCCTACGCCGGAGCCCACCCAGGTGGAGTACCCAGGCAACCGGGTCACCCGGCTGGTAGCACAGATTTGCACATGAAACATGAGCACATTTGCACAGGTATTGACAAGTAGGAGTAGTGAGGGATAGAAGGCAAGAAGAAAAACGCACGCTAACCAGTTTTTCATTTTTCACTTCCTCCTCTTCTTACTTCCAATTTTTCCTTTCACTCCTCATGGTTTTTTCTTTTGTTTTCCAACTCTCTTCCCATGTATGGATGGTTGCCCACGCACCTCATATAAGAGCATAGTCGCAGTCGAAGGAGTACAGCAGGCAGGATGTAAAAAAGACTGGTAGTAGTGGAGGCAAAAGTAAGTCTGACCTTAGCGGCAGAGGGGGGCAGGCAAGGCATTCGCTGCAAATAGTTCACCCTCCCCGCCAAAAGGGACAGACGAAAGGGGGTTACTTTAGCTTTTTCTGTAACAGGCCCACAAAGGCTTTCCACGAACTCTTGAGCTGCTATTTTCATTACAATGATTACATTGATTCTTCCTGCCTTTACGGTTACAAATGTCAAAGTTTTCCCCTTTCACTCTCTCACCAGATAGAATGACACAAAACCCTACCCAAATAAAAATAGAGACAAAACCCTATCCGCCATGCAAGTGCTGGTATGCTCCACAAAGCTCTCATGACCTGCAGGAGAGTGCAAACTAGAACAAAGGCGTTGCAACAGAGTCCAAGATAGAACAAAGACGTGTTTCAGGAAATTGCAAGCCAGAAAAAGAAATAACTTTCAATTGTTTCAGTTATTTCAGCTGTTTCAGTTATTTCAGTTGTTTCAGTTGTTTCAGTTGTTTCAGTTGTTTCAGTTGTTTCAGTTGTTACAGTTGTTTTAGCTGTTTTAGCTGTTTCAGTTGTTTTAAGTTGTTTTAAGTTGTTTTAGCTGTTTTTAGCTGTTTCAGTTGTTTTAGCTGTTTCAGTTGTTTTAGCTGTTTTAGCTGTTTCAGTTGTTTTAGCTGTTTCAGTTGTTTTAGCTATTTTAGCTGTTTCAGTTGTTTTGGTTGTTTCCATTCTTTCAGTTTCCAGTTGTTTCTATTGCTTCTGTTGTTTCTATTGGTTTCTGTTGTTTCAGTTGTTTCAGTTGTTTCAGTTGTTCAGTTGTTTCAGTTGTTTCCGTTTTCAGTTGCTTCTTTTCTTTCTTCTTTTTTCTTTTTTGGAAAGTAAGCCCCATATATTCTGGGCGGCAGCGTCTGGTTACTTGTCAATGGCAAGTATGGAGCAACAGAAAAGATCAAGCATAGGAAACGCACGGCCTCATACCCCTGTCACCCTAGAAGTTTTCAGTTGTTTCTGTTGTGTCTGCTGTGTCTGTTGTTTCTGTTGTGTCCGTTGGTGTTTGTTGTTCTCATTTGTTTTCAGTTCTTTTCAGTTGTTTTCAGTTGTTTTCAGTTGTTTTCAGTTGTTTTCAATTGTTTTCAGTTGTTTTTGGTTGTTTTCAGTTGTTTGAGTCCATAAGCCCTGACCTGGATTGACGGCTTATTCAGGTGCCCAAGATTAGACGTTGTTTGTCGCGGTTCCTGGCCGAGCATCATCGTCTGCGGATTGATCAGCCGAAAAGCATCTACTACCACCTTCCCTTTCACACTCTGGATTGGGTCCACGACCACAGCAACTGCCCGCTGGTTCAGAGCCTCAAAACTCTACAACAGCAGGAAAAAAAAAACAGATGAGCAACACACACATACAACCGTTAGAATCGAACGAAAGCAAAATTATTGACGGCTACAGCCCTTCAAGAACCAAAAGTTAAAAACGATTTTCAATCCAATCATCTTTGCTAGTGGGACCTTTCCCGTAGAGAGGTGCACTTCTCTTGCAAGAGACGTAGAGGGGGGAGAAAAAAGGAAGCGCTGGCTTGGACTGAGTCAGTGTCTCCAAAGCGGTTCGTCGAACGCATTACAGACAGTCTGCAGATGTGAGCCTCGAAACTCTCAAAACATAATAACAAAAACCAGTTGCAAGACAAGGCAACATCCATACAAATACCAGACCAGTGAGAGCTCAGCAGAGATTCACAGCCACTAGCAGATATCTGGACCACGGAAGCAAAGCACACGTGACAAGTTGTCGCCCGCTGAGCAAATGAATTCGCAGCAAATGACTACAAAGCTAGTATGAAACTTCATTACCCCTCGAGGTACCCATCAGCTTCGACCTCATCACTTTCCTCCTATGTATAGCTGGCATTGCATCGGCAGTCCCTTCAGAATGGCCACACGTCACCAGTTGGGAGGGAGTGGTCTCTCATGAGTACCCCCCCTCCAAAAAAAATAAAATCCAAAAAAAGGGAGCATTCAAAGAGCACCATGTACAGTTAATTGGCAGTATCTGCACAGAATAGGCACGAGAGGAAGGGAGGAGAAGGGTTGGGGAGGGGGTAAGTGGGGGGTGTTCGGGGGTGGGGGGGGGGGGGGAGGGGAGGAGCGAAGGAGCTGGGCAAAGGTACCCATAACATTCCAGAACTCAGAAAGCCATCTGCGCAAACTAACGTGAAGGATTGTCAGTTTTAGGCACAGTAGTGTCTTGCCAAACGAATCCGCGAGATTCTACCTGTTGCGTGTTGATGTCAACGCCAGAAAGCCAGCATCCAAATCCAGGATGCGAATGGTACCACCCAACAACCATCTCTGGCCTGCACAAGAGCAATCCACCACAAGGTTACCGACCGCAGAGCAACACCATCAGCAAACGAAAGTGACACAAGTGCACAGAAAGAAGGTGACGAGTGCAGTCGAACACTTCAAACTCGCTGGGGACAGCACATGAAGTCAAACTACATGCCAGTTCTGAAGTCAACCACCAGCTTAGATCTGAAGTCAACCAACCAACATGCCAGACCTGAAGTCAACCAACATCCACCAGGGTTGCAGATCTTTAGTGACACATCTCAAGTCTTAAGTCCCTTCCGAAACAGGGTGGTACCCGTAAGGCCAGGTTTTCCGGGACATTTGGGATTTTCAGGCCATTTTTGCCGGGCCATTTGTTACGGGTAGATCTGAAGTCAACCAACCAACACTCACCAGATCTGAAGTAAACCAACATCCACCACATCTGAAGTCAACCAACATCCACCCGTTCTGAAGTCAACCAAGATGCCAGACAAAGTGGGAACAGCACTATTTACATCAAGGGTGGAGCGGAGTCTTTAAAGACTAATTGACACATCACTACGCAGGAATCCTTTAGACTAAGTTATACATCACTAGGCACGAATTCCTTGATACATAACTATTTGCAGGACTTCGTTGAGACATCACTATCGTCTTCTCCCGAACACAACGCACCCTCATTTTGCCTGCACCGGACCGGAAAGGCAGATTGTATACACTCGTTATCAGCATGCGCTGTGTGCAGGGAAATACGGTAGGGAGGAGTTCTTTAGGCTATGTGATACAGCAGGAATCCAAGATTTCTTTAGACTAAGTGGAAACATAGGCTATGTGATACAGCAGGAATCCAAGGATTCTTTAGACTAAGTAGAAACATCACTATGCAGGAATTCTTTAGACTATGTGGAAACATCACTATGCAGGATTTTTTTAGACTTAAGTGGAAACATCACTATGCAGGAATTCTTTACACTAAGTGATACTTTGCAGGATTTTTTTAGACTAAGTGGAAACATCACTATGCAGGAATTCTTTACACTAAGTGATACTTCACTACGCAGGAAGTCTTCCGACTAAGTGACGACGCATCACACTACCGTCTTCCCCCGCACACAAGCACCCTCATAATGGCTGCACCGAACCGGAAAGACGCCTTGTCTACATTCATCATTAGGGTGCTTCGGGGGAAGATGGTAGGCAAGAATTCTTCAGACAAAGTGATGCATCCCTAGGCAGGAAATCTTTAGACTAAGTAGGCCACATGATATGATATGAAACTAATTCTTCAGGGCTATGGAGGGGTCACAGGGGTAGGCTTGCCTGCTCGACCGTTCCAGCGTTGCTTTCGTGTTGCACTGCAGCGAGGCGTGGCGCGGCCCAATAAAAGAAAAAAGAAAAAAAAAGTCACTACCGGTAGGCAGGAAAAGCCCTGACGACATGACCCTAACTGACATTAGCAAAATTAATTTTTTGCAGATCTACCAGCCCACCTCCCAGATACGTAAAAGGGCCTTTACCCGATATAGGCCTCAGGCCTTGTAAAAGTAAAGCAGCACGGGCCTTGGAAAAGTAAAGCATTGTGAGAAGGTATCTCGCCAGGGCTCAGAAACGTGAAAGCAGGTCAAAGGTCAAGTTCTCTATCAACAGGCACATCTAAATCTAAGGCAAAGGGCATTGTCAAAAGACTTGTATCTCGCCAGAGCTCAGAAACGTGAAAGCAGGTCAAAGGTCAAGTTCTCTATCAACAGGCACATCTAAATCTAAGGCAAAGGGCATTGTCAAAAGACTTACCTGTTCACCAGGAGCTGTGTATGTCATGTCTGTTCGGGTAAGAGTGTGTCTGTACGTGCAGACAGTGTACCTGTTCGTGCAAAAGGAGAGTGTCTGTTCAGGCAGTAAATGTGTCTGTTCGTTTAAGAGTTGTGCCTGTCCGAAAGTCAAGTCAATAGGCACAGTCCCAGTTCTGGTCTAAGTCAATGGGTCAGTCCAGATCCAGACTTTGAAGTCCAAATCTAGGCCGAGAGACCTCAGCAGCAGTCGAACCTCATTGGGACTACACTGGGACACATGCAATGCAGAGTCTGGGACAAAGGATAGGCTGAATTGAGCCAATGCAGACCCAGCAAGGAGTGGCCAGCACTATAAAGAAAGCTGCCAGCCTCATTCCTCGCCAGATCTCCACTGGCTGCAATGCGTGGAAGTGCTGGTGCACTTGTGCACTGAGTCAGGAGGAACAGCGCTGGAGGTAGAAGATGCGCTGAATGCAGGAAGAAGCCTGTACGCTGGAAGTGATGCAGCCATAGCTGCCCAGCGAGTTCGTATTAGTAGTAGTGGGTTAGCATGTAGCTATGAGTAGTATTCAGAGTAGATCCTCATGAGTGAAGAGTGTGTATGCATCGTAGGAGGAAGGGACTGAGGCTGCGAGTGTTCGTTCAAGGTTCGGCTATGGAAGATACTTACCTGAGTTGGATGTGACCTGCAGAGGTGGCACTGATGAGTAGTGTCCATATTGATGACTTGGAGACTATCTGCAGGAGAAGCGCTGATTCACTGGAAGTCATATTGACGAGTTGACAAGAGATTGGTGTTGCGCTGATGAGCGCTGGACTCAGGGGAACTTTGAAACACTTTGTATTCATATTTTTGATAATATAAGCTGTGAAACTCGGTCCTCTTCTCATCTACCTTTGTCTGTGACTTGAGACTATTGATCGTGGTGTGTGAGGATGATGCATGACATGTACACATCTGCGTGAGATGGTCCCCAGGACCCATGCAATTTTGGTATCGGAGCAGAAGCTCGCTACACTCATAGCGCTGGTCTGATCAAGGCCGGCGAGACGAAGTGGTGATGGAAGAAGAGTGAAGGAGGGAGGAAGAGAAGAAGGGTTTTGATAGTGGGGAAAGCAGGCCGAAGAAGAAGTGGCGAAGTCTACTTACCTGGAGCGTGCGGAGCGTCGTTGAGCACCATCGGCGGTATCTTCAAGAAGAGAGAAGCACCTCCTTTCCCTGAACCTGCATGCATGTGTGTGTCCCCTACCTTCTCTCTCTCTGACCCTCTGAAGGTGACTGCTGCTGATCTGGTCAGGAGTCGAAGTCTGGATCTGGGTTGTCATAGATGGCAGGTCTGAGMCGTCAGAGTCTGATGACCCAAGTGTGATGTGTCAGGAACTGGTCACACTAGAGTAGGTGGTCCAGTGTTCTGCGAATAGGAGTAGGTCTCTCTCCTATCCCTCTTGATAGGCAGGCTGGGTAGCGTTATCAAGAACCAAGAATCGATGTGGGAAGTCGCTATGTACCACGTCAGATAGTATGTACCAGGCAGCATAAGGATGCTATTGAGTATCTACAGGGCCTGTTGAGCCCAACAGAAAGAAACATTGGAACGAAGTATTCCTGCCTGGTTGGACAAGTGAATCATCGGAATCTGCGCTGTACTCCATACCTGCATCAGACACCCAGCAAGTTAGTAAAAGAAAGAAAAAAGTATATATCAAGAGAGCAACGGAAACACATTACCAAAAGTTCGATCCAGGAGGCCAGACAGCAAATCAAAAAAAAAAAAAAATAGACATATTCAAGTTCATTCTAGTTTGGTCTATTATTGATTGTACGCAAAAAAGAAAGAGAAAAACGAAAGTATAACTACTCCATTACCGCAAGGCAAGATCAAGTTCGTAAGTGGGATAGTACCTTGGTGACCCGGCGGAGGGTTTCCTGTGCCAGTAGTCATCATGGATGACTATCCCATTCAGGGCCTGTTGGCCCTTTCTGTCTTGTTGGGGCCGCTGTTCCGGCTTATGTTCCCACTGGGGTTCGGGCGTGTGTGCACGTCCCGCATGCTGATGCGKTCTGGAACAGTGAAGCCTGGCCCTACACCTGCGGAGCAGGCAGAAATAGACCGCAGGCTGGCAGATAAGAAAAAGGAGARAGAAGCAAAGAAAAAACAGAAAGAAGAAGAAGCAAGAAAGAAGATGAAAGAGAAGATGGAGAGAGAACTGGAAGAGGAGTTGAAGAGTATAGAAGAAAGTGAAGTAGAAGAACAGGAGGAAGAACAAACACTGCAAAGACGTCGCCAAGATATACCCGAAAGCAGTACATCGACCCGCCTTCACGTTGAACCGCTGGACTGGGGCAGCCAGTACTACTACTCCAGCGAGCCATTAAAGGAAACTGATGAAGAACGAGATACGTTCATCGCCAAGTTGGCCACTGTCACAAATGCTGTTGAACGAAATCTGATGCTGGAGGAAAAAAGGTCTGAACTAAATCGCAGGCTGTTGGCCGCTAGGCGGCAAGAAGTAGAAGAGAAAAAGAAGTTGCATGCAGAGGTGGAGAGATTGCAGAAAGTTCGAGAAGCGCAAAAGGAAAGTCCCTCTGAAACCGAAACCCAGCTTGCTTTCCTCAGGGAGACAGTCCTCAACACAAGGCAAGATATGAAGTCAATGCATCAGACTCTACAAAGGGTTGAAGCGCATCGAGTTGAATTCGAAAACGTCTGGAATAACTTTGTGGAAAAGTCGGCCAAGGATGTTGGCCAACATGTGCAAACTTACATCCAGGCTTTGGACGAACATATCAATAAAGTCTTCACCCCGGAAGTCGTAGAGAAGATTGTAAAGGGAGCTGGAGGTAACGGCGGCGATGGGGATGGCGACGGCGATGATGATAAAGAAGGAAAGAGGAAGGTTAGGGATCCGAAAGAAAAACTTCCTCAGGAAACCGGGCAAGTTAACAAGATAAAACTTAAACTGCCCTGGACCTACAATGGAAAGAAAGAAGAGAGTGTGTTGCACTAGGCGGCGACAATTGAAACCTATGTGTACGGACAGCGTATCCCATACTGGGACAGGGTGTTAATGGCAACTTCGTGCATGGGAGGCGATGCCATGAGCTTCGCCATCTCGCTGCAAAAGGAAGCGGGATGCAGCTCCATGGTAGAGTATTCGCAACAAACGTGAATCGAAGACTTCCTTAAGTTAGTAAGAGAAAGATTTGAGGATAAGAACTTGGCAAGACGCAC